TAAGCGCACTCGATTCGACCAGGGAGCAAATGTATGTGCCAAAGCGAATGCACGACCTGGGCGTCTGAGTACGCAGCTGGTTAGCTTCGTTGTTGTGTCGGTTATGAATCCAGGTCTTAAGGTTGTGACGAGCGCAACTGATGCATGACAGTCATGTCTTTTCCATGTCAGTTACATGTCCTGGCCTGCAACTCTCAATGGTTAGTGTGCCTGAACCTACACTAATTGTAAATAACCTAACAGTGGCAAAGCAGCACAGCAGTAGAGCTGGACAAATTAGAAAGTGAGACGAACAAAAAACCACACCACCGATATTACAGGTCATGGGATCTGGTGCAAATGTGTTTTCAGCATGGCTTCCCTCTGGGCGCCAGCTAAGTGGGGGTTGCCTCCACTACATGTGACTTTCCGAATGAAGAAATGGCCCATTGAAGCAAGGCCCCAGTGATTTTACCAAAAAGTAGGACGTCTGAGATGTTTTCATTACTCATGCGCCGGCCTCAGTCGGCGTGACCCTCTCCATGTAGGGAAGTCAAGGCAATGCCGTTCGTGATCATAGTCTTTTTCACTCAAGACTCCCAGTTGGTTGGGAACAGCATTGGCACCTCGCCTTCTGCCACCTCCTCCCCCACCACAAGTGAGAAGTGTGGGACAAGGCAATCATAACATGAGCGCACCCTCAGGATCCATTTCATGTCTCGCGGGACAAATGAGCACCCGAGTGGATTTTTCAAACATGCAAGACTTTGATCGCTACGGTACGCAAATTCTTCAGCTCACCTTGCAGCTGTGTGTTAGACTGCTCCTTTTGCATCTGCCCCGATCAATCTTCAGATGCCCCCTCAGCAGCAGTTTGCCTCTGCCCGAGCATGTGCCAAGTGAAAGTGTAGGTCAGGCGTATGTGCCTCGTCCGATCAGCAATCCGATGTTGCCAGACTGGCCTCCCTCAAAGGATGCATCCTTTCGAACGATATCTGGGTTTGCCTGCCTCAGAACTACCAGTATTTGATTTCCAAACAACATCGAACCAGCCAACAACCATAGCCTCATGCGAGACCGTGTGGAGGTACCATGGAAGCAGAATCCCAGCAAAGATGTGTTCTTGGAAATCGAAACCCTTCGTCGTTACGACAAGAAGGGCCCCTTGCAGGACAACACGGAGGTGCGAGAGGACAACAGGCCCATAAAGTTTGATTATAATCGGTTGACGTCCATCATGATGAAATTGCCTTTGCTCCTTGCTCGTTCTTCGCGCAAGATGCGTTCCGTATCGGAACTCATGCTCGCCGAATATCAGCAAGGGCATGTGGATCACAAAGTCATTCAGCTCACCGACGTTTACTTGACAAGCATTGTTGAGAACCCTGAGTCGCTGGCAGTCGACATTTCCAGTTGGCACCACTTGGCAGGGATAACCGCAGCTGCAGGTTGCATTCATAATGCTCGTCGCGTGCGGCTTTTGAAGATTGCAAGGAAGGTGGTAATTAGGACTAGTGACACATATGTCTTTTGACCAATCGGTTTTGAGCACTGAATGACGTATGCCTGAGTCAGAGCTTTACTACGTCACGCAGAATAATGACGTTTCTGCTGTTTCTGCTCTCGTCCATATTTGTCAGCAAGAAGCGTTCAGGCCGTCGAAATGCAACTCGAAAGACATCACTTGGCTTCCTTCGCTTACTTTTTGCGCGAGGGGCCGTCTCAGACGCATGAGAACACTGCGATCAGAAAGGCTGCTGATACAAATCCGAAGCCACGCCGTATTGTGTGATCGCTCGCGTGAAAACGGGCCAGGTGGATCATGCCAATCCCGAATCGGGGGGAACACACGCCGATATAGCCGTGGACTATTTCCGCGGTATACTCCGTTCGAGGACGGAAGTAACGGAAGGTGGGCCTTCAGGAGCACGCTGCAAAGCCTGCTGGCCTCGCAATCTGGGTGTATCAAGTGTATCAGTAAGTTAGTTCTTTGAGTGCGTTGGTCACACACTTCATCCTGTTTTCTCCAATCGCTATCGTGTCTGTGCAGTATGAGCTACTTTTACACCCACTGTGCACAACGATTTGCAGCATAGATACCGTCGCTGCTGTCCGCAAATCTCAGAGTCAAAGCATACATGTTGGCAGTGAGTGCAAGTGCATACTATTTGGGCCTCGGACCCTCCATGTAGGGGAGCTGGGGCAGTGCTGTGCGGACAGGAAAATGCTACAGCAGGTCAACCTGCAGCTTCAAGATTTGTTATGCTTGAGTTTTCTGATCGAACAAGGTTGTTGTGATCAATGGGTGTCCATCGATTTCTAATCGTGGCGCAGTCTAAGCTGTCGTGGAATCGGTCAGACTCCAACAGTGGTTGGGATCAGACGTGGTATGGACCTCGACGACGATCTTCTTCGGGAAAACAGGCCGTACCATTCCAACCCTCCGTCGTCAGCCACTCAGTAGTCATGGGCACCGCCTTTTTCATATTCTGGCATTGTACCACCGATGCCCACCTCGCTCAGCGCAGATGATCATCATTATGATGTCAAGTCCGTGTTTGGGTTTCCGTTCAAGAAAGAAGTGGAAGCCTCTCATTAGGGCAGACAAAAAGGGGTCAGTGGCCGCAATGTTATGCATATTCGAACACATGAGCTACTGTTTCATGGCCAGCAGAGTGGTCATTGCGACGTTTACGTCATGGCGGATTCCTGTCGACACTGCCTACTCGGTCAGTTGCCGAAAGCATTCTGACCTGTCAGTGGTTCGCAAGAAAAGGTTCGACATTGATGGCTGTGATGTGAACATATGGAAACATACCCATCCAGGGAAAGATCTTCCATCGCGCGGGATCGCAGCAACTTCGTGAACATAGGGGCGCCATTTCCCCAACCAAAAAAACAACATCGTCTGCAGAACCCAGTTCATCAGAGATGGGTCAGACTTATCCATGCGCTTTAGGGACTGCAGGCCTCAATCCGTGGCCCTAAAGTGCCCGCGAAGATTGCAAGCATGAAGAGCTCCCCGAAGACAGCTTGAAAAGCCATGCCAAAAAGCTCCAAAGTCAGTCCCTTCAAGCCGCACAAGCTTGCCCCAATACAGTCAAGCAAACACCTGGAGCCTCTAAGAGCCTCTAAGTACAAAGAGTTCGAGACATGGGCAAAGAGTTGACGCTTCAGATCGAAGCAGCAAACACCAGCCTTAGCAAGGACAAGAGTCGTGAGCTTGCGAATAAGTCCGGCCTTCCGCTGAGCCTTGTCAACAAGATGGGTGTCACATCACTTGCTTCAATGATTGCACTTGCACCTATTCTGGCGGCCTGACATGTTGACGAGGCTGAGTGCCGTAATTTCTGCGAGCAGATCACGGCCTTTGCAGAAGTTTTGTTCACAACTAGGCCTTTTTGCTTCGTTGGTTATCAATCATTTGCAACCCGTTGAAACGACAGCTGCAATGTTCAAAGCATCATGCACCCCCGAATGTGCCTGTTGTCCTGTTCCCAAAGACCCCCAAACCCATAAGCATCACCTCTGACCTCGCAGGACTTCTGTAGGCAGCACTGGGATCATCCAGGCACACTCAAGTCTAGGAGGGCCCTGCATTGCATTTCCCGATAAGTACCAATGCACCATACTGAAGCAGCTCTCTGCCGCAACCTTTGAGCTCCACTCCCCCTTACGTGCATGTGAAACTTGAGCTGCTTCGGACATCCCAACCTACCTGCCTCCCCACCTTATCCCGAACTGAACCTTGCGCACTTGCACACCCCATCCCTGAACCTCAAACTGCACCGGGCCACCAGATGTCACTCAACAGCTTCAGCAAATAGCTAGCATCACGACCTACCATGACTCGATAGCATTGGCTGGTATGGCTCTGTGAGGCTTGCAAGATGCTGTCCCCTGGCCCGACTCCGGCACGCAACAAATCCCCCACTAGCAGATTAGACGGAAATGCACACGAACGTTAGGAACCGCCCCAGACTCTTAAGCGGCTACTCAGTCGCCCTGGTCTACAGACCTGGGGTTTGTGAAACTGCGCCAGTCTTCATTCCCCCTCTCATTGCGGCCACCTGGACATGTGACTTGCGTCTGGTCGTAGTCGTTCTTGGTGCACTGGCCGCCCTTCACGTACTGGTACTCCCAGTGTCTCAGCATGCCCCCATTTGTCGCTGTTGAGCTGGCCGGTGTCCCCCAGGTCGTTTCCCCCCGACGAGCTTTACATCGTCCCCCGAGTGACCGGTCGTCCATTGGACAAGCTGCCCCAAGGCCTTGTTGACTTCCTTGAGGACATCTCTAACTAGAACGCGTAGTAGACATCGAAGCGGCGTTAGCTGCACAGATATGCTTTGCTTGTGGTGGCTCTCCCTCCTGGCGGATTCTCGCCTCCGGTGCCCTGACCCCAAGCTCACATCGTCCCAGCGGGGCTTCATCAAGTCGCTCTCTCTCTCTCTCTGTTTCTCTCTCTCTCTCTCTCTCTCTCTCTCTCGCTTGCTCTCTTTCGCAAGTGTAAGGATGGAGGAGCTACAACCACCAAAGCGTTAGCGCCCCCCATATTGTATGAGCAGCATGGAGAAAAGGCCCCGAAGGAAGCGGCAGGTCGACTTGAGCCAAAATGGCCACCTCTCTCTCAAACTCTCTGTTTCTGTAAGCACAACTGTTCGAACCTGATGTTTCGCCAAAACAACTTAGTGAGCAAGTCGATACCGATGGCATGAGTGTCTACACGCACGGGAGAATGGGGAAGGGGGAGATTGGAGGGCGGGAGGGAGGCAGAAAGGGAGGCGAGGGGAGTGCTGGACCGGCACCCGGCATCCACAAGGCAGTCTGGACAGCCATTTGATCCTTTTGTTCTCAAGTGTGTGGTTGGATAATGATTTGACTGTGTCCAGGAAGATGTGCACGTATCGGCATGTATCTCGTATCAACATCGTTTGCATGCCACTTGGCCGAAGCTTCACGAACATCTCGAGTACATAGTCCAACAAGAACTATCAGCTTGGTGAACGAGAAAAGTCATCCGCCTCAGCCTCTTCGCTAGGCAAGGCTGGCAGCAAATGCGGAGTGCAGTGCTGGAAGATCATCTGCAAAGCCCGCACTTTTGCCGCCTGGCACTTTCCTGCTGCATGCAGCAACAGGCCGAAGATCGTCCGAAGACTGCACTCACTCTCACTTCGTGTCAGCAGGTGCAGTGCCCGGCTGAGAGCCTCAGCCCACTGGTGACGTTTCGCCATGTCCTGGTGTACTTCGACTGCGGCTTGGTACGGGAAGCCTTCAGCCTCAAACTCTTCAAGTTGAACATAGACCATCTCCGGCGCACCAAACTCTGGAACCAGCTCAGGCCATGCTTTCGACATCCCGTCTCGAGCCAAGCTGTGGAACTGCGGCGGCTGCGGCTGCCGCATGAGCTGAGCTATGATGGTACCGCTCTTCGACTGGGCCATCAGCTCCGGCCGCACGCAAATGCATGCAGCTGCTGGTGCGTACTCGGGCAAGGCGTTTCTAGCCATCGAGAACCATTTTCGGAGCGGGGCTGGCTGAAGGCTGTTCGTAGCACCGCCTCCAATCGCGACTAAGAAGGAGGGCGACTTCCGTTTCCCACCGTCACGCGACTGTCGCGTTTGTAGCATTGTGGCCACAAAGTCGCCTAAGCTCCGGTATCTGTGCAGATGCAAAACCGACGGTTTCAGAGCCGGGAGTAGCTGTGTTCCCCTTGCTAGCTTCTTGCTGGAAAAGGGGAGGACGCAATGGTCGCAGCCCAAAGCAGCCGCAGCCCAATGGCGCTCTCACTACACTGCTACAGAAACGAAAAGTTCCACTAGAAGCTGATTCTGCAGTGCTGCCCTGCAAACATTCGATGATCAGGACTCACAAACGTTGCCTGTCACTCGTTTCTCAGCACGTGTCCTCTACTATGAGAGTGAACCGCGGGGCGCTTGACATGAGTGTCATGGCAAAAATGAACAAACTTCACAGCTGAAACCCGTAACTTTGCGTATCCTTGCTTTCTTTTCGCCGATCTTACACCAAGCTGTGCCAAGCTTAAGTGCACAGGCTCGCTGACTTCCGCACAGTGTGTCAAGAAGCAAACCTGCGGTGCTGTCCTGAGAGGCCAGCGGCGAGCCAGCGCAGACTCCGGCAGCATGCGTCTGCGGTCGAAAATTGCCTCAACCGAATTCACGAGATGTGTCTGCATCCATGTCCATCGACAACTCAAAGCATGGCACGGCTCCTGCCAGTTGAAACCCCTGGAAGAGCGTTGCTGACCAGGACAGTTATCATGACCGAGGCCTTTCTCACTCACACGGTCAGTAGCTCCTGTTCGCAGAAATACGACGCTGTTGCGCGGTTTACATCTGGCCTCAACAAGTCAATAAATTTCAATAAATGAATGTTTGATGTTAGTCGGTGATTAAGAAGTCTTTTCTGCACCGTAACACGGCAGCAAAGCCACTAGCTGTGCTAAAGCAGTGATTTCTGCGACCCGACACTAAGTCACTCAGTGGCTTCCTTGGATCGCCCTGAATGCAAGAACAGGAAGCCTCATAAATCGGGGACTACTTAAAGGATCATGGGACTGAGTAAGTATAGTTATAACTTATCAGTACGCTAAGTGGAATTACAAGTAGCAAGAAGTAAAGTTACCTGAACTATAAAACCAGTTACTAAGCCCCATGAACCTTTAAGTATGCTTCGCCCTCAGACGAAGCTGCAAACTCTTCACACCTGACTCAGGCGCCGACTGCCGAAAGGATGACCCAGAGGCATTCTCCGGTACCGCCCCCTGAACCTGAGCAAGCAAGACACACGGACTTCAACCGCCAGAACAACCAGAGCTGTGCGCAGAGCCACAGCATCTGAGGACACAACGATTCAGAAAAAGCCCGAACCGAGCTTCCGGCTTCGGTCGGCTATGTCGCTGTGCAGGGAAGTGCCCGAGCCGTCATTTGCAGACTGCCGGGACCTGACTTTGCATGACTTTGCAAATCACTCCCAAAGAACTGCTTCGTTCGCTACTAATCCCACAAGTAGTGCGCAATGCAACGGAAAGTACACACAGACCTGGTGAGAACGAGAAGAGAAGGTAACATTACTCGATACATCAGTTAAACCAATGAAGCCACGCCGTATGAGACGGACGGCGCCCAGGCGTGTCCCATCGCGCGGTGATATCCCAGCCTGCACAATTCTTCTTGCATATTGGCACTGGGGCACCGTTCCGGCCCTTTCCAAAGATTTCTACGCTGGAGATGCACCACGCACGAAGCCACAGACAGCTGTCTTCCCTGAAGCATGGGGCATCCGTTCCCACTGTCGTGAGACGCGTGCCATACCTGAAAGCCTTCAGGAAACAAGCCTGGCCGTCCGATCCCAGATGATCCCACTCCCAGAAGTATTCCCACCGCCGAAGAGGAGGCAGCTCAGGAGGATGAGGCCAGCACATGCCAGCATCAAAAGGAGGCTGATCTGAAGATGGAGCCTACGAAGACGGGAACCAGCAAGAGATCCTCTTCCTTCTTGCGGGCCTGGCCTGCTAGGTCGCCTTCGACGCCGCTGCGAAGGCGGAAGCCCTGCAGCCGGGTTCTCAAGGCCAGCATCGGCAAAAGAGTGGGCTGGGCTGGGCTGGGCCGGGCCCTGCTTGCTGCGAGTGCTCGCGCTCGTTTCGGTCGCACCGCAGCACAAGCGCTCCCTGGCCAGGCCACCCCTGTCAGCGGTGGACATCCCTGGCCTGCGAGCCAAGCTCGCCTCAAGGGCAAAACTGGCAAATTAGGCGGAGGCCATTCGCAACAAGAAGGTCTGTCAAGATCGATGAAGCTCAGCTATTATGGCTTGTAGGATGCAACTCAGGGCCAAACCTGGGCACCAATGTAGAAGCTGTGAGTGCCAGCTATGTTCAGCTTCAAGCCACTGAGTGGACGTTGTGCAGTGAAGTGCACTGTGCCCGTGGGCTGCACTTCCATCCAGCCACGTTCCGCATCCAGGTAGACATGATTCCGGCGATCAATGAGAAGCCATGCGTTGATTGTCTCCTGATTCTGGTTTGAGAGCGACACCTGCTCCATGAAGCTGTAGCTCTTCACATGACGCAGCTCCATCAGCCTCCGCGAGATGCAAAAGGAGCGGCGGCTTTGAGAGGGCAAAGAAAGGGGTCTGGCTGAGCTTGGGACACCGTATGACTCCGGGAATGCCAAACCAGGTCCTTCTCGCTGATGGAGGCCTCGAGCTTAGGCACGAAGATCAAACACTCGTGTGCCGAGCGCTCTACGACTGAGGTGCAGACTGAGGTGTGAGGCACCCAGATGTTGGAGAAGGAACTCCGAAACCTGCGACGGCAGCCCTTTGGCCGGATAGGTCTCCGCCCCTTGCGGGCGTTCTTGTCAAGCAAACGCGGCGGACAGCAAAGGTGACCAGTTTCAGTGCATGCATCCACACAAAGCCTGGTCGTCTGGGTTTCGTATTCGTACCAGTGATGCTTGACACAGTTGACATTCCACTCCCCGCCGCCACAACGATGTCTACTGCCCAGTTAACTTTCAGAAAATGCCGTAAAACCTAAAAATGGAAATGTCTCGCCTATGTTGAACCCCGACAAGCCCCTAGCAAGCATAGCAAGCATGGCAAGCCTGCCTCGGCCACCTTGGTTAGCAGGCGGTGATGCCTGCTTCGTGCTTGTCATTTGAAGGGTCTGAGTCTCTGCGGTAGATTTCCTTAGTCAGTAGTAGTTGACGCCCAAACCCCAAACAGGCAGTTCTCTGAAGTGATGGTTTCTCTTGAGATAGTGAGTAAGCAAACTTGGCATGGAAAACATCTGCTGAGCCTCCTCCCTCGAGTATCTGCTCCCGGTCCTCCATCGCTTCCATTGCGCGATCCTCAAATCGAAACAACCCGAAACGTGATGCATATCAGCGGGAGCACAGAAGCGTCAGCCAGGCCATGTTCGCTCTGCTTGCACAAGTTCCCCATCTCAGGTGCGAAGCCATTATAGTCCCTAAACTGTTGGCTCGACAGTGTCCTCGCTCTGCATATGCTCCAAACGCAGCTCTTCACCTCAATTGCACGGACCACGAGGGCAGGTGCTGCGCGGCTGACGCGGCCTGCAGTTGCCTGACTTGCTTCACATTGCCTCACACATTCAACACTCGCGGGAAGAGGTAGTAGGATCTAGTCGGGAGGCTTCACATCCTCACAGCCCGATCTTCCTCCAGCTTGCCGGGTCACAAGCTGCCGTCGAGATCTCGAGCCGGACCTCGCTGTGTGTCCACGTATCGAAAGAGCCCTGTTTTGCTGAACTTGCGCATTCCAGAACCAAACACCTCCAAGCGACTTGTTATTCCAAGCTTGTGTACAAACTCCTGATGAGCCCAGTGACACCTGATCATTGGACCTAATCGACCAACTTTGAATCACTCAACGAAAGCAAGCAGTGCTTGCAATGAGTAGATTGCCAGCTATCCCACAGTAAAGCCCAATCCTTAACCTGCCTTCCTTTGTGATTTGTGGGACATCAGCCTGTGCCTGGTGTTCATGGTGTCACTGCGTCGCTGCTTAGCCAGTACAGGACACATGCCACATGCAAGAATCCGTGGGCACCGCCTGCAAGTCTCGAGCTTTCTTCTTGTACTCCTGCAAGCGCTCGGCGCGGCACGAAGCAAATCCGGCAAGCACTTTGGCACGGACACCGCAGGCATTTTTGACTCTTACTTCGCAAGGACGTATCAAGGTTTGGGGAGCCCAAGTGATTTCCTCGCAACCGTAGACAAGCTCAGCTGCCGTCGCAATTCAGGCCCCTCAATGTGAATGATCTGTCAGCGGAGCAGAAGCAGAATCCATGCCGGGACGGAGTCCTCTTCAGGGCTTCTCGAGCGTGCGGCTGAGCCGAGCCGAGACTGATAGCTGAACCTTTTGCTGCTTTTCCTGATGAGTCTTCGTAGAAACTCTGGCTGCTGCACCCACTCCAGTGAAGCTCGCCTTCTCGGCTGCGAAGTGGCACAGCTCGTAGCACTCTTGGTGGCAGTCTTCCAGCTCTCCTAAAATCTTGCGCAATTTGAAAGGTCGTGGCTGTCAATCTGCATTAAGATCGAAAGTAGCATGCAGTATGACACTACCCGCGTGCGAAATCCTGGATTGCATTCAGCATCTTGGTGCCAGGCATCGCTCCAGATTGGACTGCATCGCGAGCAGCATAAAGCTCTGCTCTAAGTTGGGTCTGGCACGACTTCTTCGTCAACCATGCGGACTCTCATGCAGCTGCTTGCAGTATGTTGCCCTTGGTGCAAGCCTCAGTGCTGACGTTTGGCTGCGCAAACGCCTTCCTGAAGCCAGGATGATGCATCTTGTACTCCTATAGCGAGTTAGGACCGCAAGAACTGCCGAAGTGTAGTGACAGGGAAATGCTGCCACGCGTCACATCTCGGGCCGACAGCATCTTCTTGCCAGCTTAGCTCTGGAAATGCCGTGAGGCCAGTGTCCTTGCAGGTAGCTACATCGCAGCGACCCAGTAGTTGCCACTCCCTTGACATGCAAATTCACTTCAAGTCCCCTTGCCCATGGGTTCCATCCACCAATCTTGACATGCAAATTCACTTCAAGTCTCCTTGCCCAGACGAGGCACTGCAAAGTCTGCCTCTTTGGGGAAGACATCCACGCAGCCCGAAACGGTTCCGTCCTTCATCGCCTCGGACACAAACCTCAGGTACACGGGTCGATGTTCCCAGACGTGAAACACTGATGACATGCAGGACTGCGGGGAAGAGATATTGACACAGCTGCACAGTGCGATCGCTATCAGAATGTCCCAACCAAACGACCCACTTTCTCTTCTGCTCGATGCTCCGCTGTCAGCGACCACCAGGCTCTGACAAAAGCACAGCACACGGACGCGCTCGCTCACACGAAGCTGAATTCGGGGCTCGGAACTTGAGCCTCCGCCGGCCGGATCATCTCGTCGAGCCCAGGCTGTGCTGGGGATTTCGCGCTGGAGCGGATCCCGGGAGGCCGTGAGGGGGCCACCATTCCTGGATGACATGGCCTGCCCGGACAAGATGCAGATGGGACGACAAGGCTGCTCCACTCCTGCGCATCCTCCCAGCAGCTGTGCCTGCACTGGACACAAGCTTCTCCTGTCGGAAAATGGAGTTGCTCAATTTCGCAACACCTGGCGGCCTGGCTCCAGCCGACATTCACCGACAAGGTCGGAGGGCAAGTGCAGAAAGCAAAAACCCATGCATCCTTGTCCCACTCCAAGTTGATGCGCTTGGATGAATGTGGTTGACTGCAACAACCTAAATAGGAGCAGGGAGAAGGAGGACAGAGGGTACCGACAAGAAATGTCGCAGCGGGCAGGGTTAGGGGGCACACAAAGCGGTTAGGGCAGCTGTCTGAGCTGGGAGCTCAGGCTCGGCGGGCCGCGTGGACCGCGTGGAGCAGCAACACTTGGCGTAGGACTAAACCTTGAAGCTGGGACCACCCTCGCCTGCAAGTTCAGGACAGGGTTACCGCCAGCTTCGCAGATGACGACACAGGTCTGCATCCGAGGGGCGGAAACTGACCTCGCGCTTGCCCTTCTGCGCGGCATCATCGGCCAGAAGGATGGCCTGTTCCTGAATGTTTTCGCTTGGGCGAAGACGGACCCCCTGAAAAATCCTCGACCTCGGCTCAGAGTGTGTCGGAATCCCAGGAAAAGCCGTTAAGACCCACACATCATCCCTAGAACTGCGGCTAACAAAAGCCACCAAGCTATGACAGGACTGCCAAGTCACCGATCTTTGCGGCTTGCTCTCTGGCGGCTGTCGGCCATGTCTCCATGGCAACAGCTCGCGAGATCTGGTGAAGCTAACGTAGAAGCCCATGACACGTGCGTATCACTCAGTATGACTATTTTATAGATCTATGCAGACAAATGTAGATATATTACCGTATATTCCTGCCTATAAAGCCTATCAATGCATCGGCTATGTATCTACAGAGAGACAGCGAGAGCGAGAGAGAGAGAGAGAGAGAGAGAGAGAGAGAAGAGAGAGCGAGAGAGAGAGAGAGAGAGAGAGAGACAGACAGAGACGGAGACAGAGACAGAGACAGAGACCGAGACGGAGACGGAGACGGAGACAGAGACCGAGACAGAGAGGCAGGAGAGATGGACACGAGAGATGGACACGCAAATCGACAGATCGACAGTGTCCAGGATCTGGAATCTACTTAGTCTCGCGATGGTCCTGAAAGACGAATTTTTCTGTGAGAGCTCTGTGCTTCAAATTGCAGGAATCATGCAGCGGCTGGCTTTGTCGCTTGTCGAATCTGCTGTGCTGGAGAACGTATGTCCAAGTCCCTTTAGTTCGTATTCTTATCTCATGCCTTGCTGCAAGCGAAGGCAACAGATTGCTTCGGCCACGTTGTGTCAGAACTTCCTGTCGAATTAGCACGCATGGTCATTCCGAGTCGTTCGTAGTGCAAAACCCGTTCCTGCAACGCACATGAGCTCCCCACGGGACGGTTCCATCCATCTGCAGCAACATCCTGCAGCGGCGCCTCTTGCGTGAGGTGATCAGACGTTGCAGTGGGAGGATGCTTTAGGTCGAGCACAAGCCTCATTCAACGCAATCTTGAACCATTGCAACAAGTAGGGTTGGTCCAAACCACAGCTTCGCACATCCAGTACCAATGACAGCTGCAGCCCAGAATTAAGGTTGGCTTGTGAAAATCACAGTTGCCCTAAGCCCAGCGACACCACCGGCCATGCACGTCAAACTTGATGATGCCGCTTCTGCCGCGGGACTCAAGTGCAGGTACTGTACAACAGAATTGGCAGCCCCGCTTGATGCCGCAAGGCTCATTTGCTCAAAGCTCTATTACTGTACAGAACACGAAGTGTCTGTCTGCAGCGACGCTCGAAAATATCCAGCCTCCAGAGTTCCACGAGCAAGGTGGTCGCCCCAGGCTACCACGCTTCCATCGGCACGTAGCGCCGAAGGCAGCTTCTGTGGCGACTACCTGCAGTCAGGAGAAGGACTAGCCAGTTGATGACAAACGACAGACACACTGTCGAATCTAACCATCCCATCATGTTGCCTGATGTGAGCACTCCGTATCACAACCTTTCCACTGGGCACTCAGAATGATCTGAAGGTCTACACTGAGCTTCAGAGTCCAAGTACACGAATGGTGTCGCACAAACCACTGCAGGTCACGGACAATTCACCTTCTACAGCAGAACTTTCGATCTCTGCTCTGCAGAAGCTGTGCCAGGGATTTGCTGGAGTCTGCTGCCGAGCCTTCTGCACTCCTTTGTTGAAGCAGGCCATGCACTGCATCTGCATCTGAATTGCCACCGGCGGCCTGGGATCCCAAGTCACGACCTTGTACAACTTGCGCAAAGGAACTCGTCTCATTCTCTTTCATTGTCAATTCATGTCAGTTCTGGATCAGTTGGGCCTGGCACTCGGATGAAGACCAAGTAAGGACTCCGAAAGAGTCAAACTGCAGAAAGGCTAAGATGTGGGTTCTGCTGCCAGGGCTGGCTCAAGCCAAGTTGTCCGATATCAAATGTACTGAACAGCAAATGCATGCAGTTGATGAGGCAGGGACGGCGCCATCTTGTCGTAGTGCTGCGAAGGCATTGTCGGTCGAATACCTCAGGACCATTCAGCCATTCAGCACACAGCAGAAAAACTACTTGAATGGGACTGAATGGCCTCACATGATACAGCAGCACCACACTCGCGTCACACCTTCCTGGTCGTTGGGACAAGACATCAACCCAAGGCTGGCAGGACTGGAGCGCCTACAGGGAGTCCGAACGAATCGGGAAAAGCAACCAACACTGGACGGAAAGTTTGGGAAGCTCGACACGCACAAGTTCCGGAAAGAAAACCCGACCTGCCCCATTTCCTGATGTCCTACTTACGCCCGTTGACGTTCCAAACTGCAAGAGAGCAGGCCAAGCAGGCCTGGCCGACAGGTGCTGGGCCACGGCTGTGCAATCGCCACTGCAAGCTGGCAAATCCAGGCACCACAATATCGCCAATGCGGCCAGGTCTCCTGCAACAGCAGCACATGCCATGCACCGGCAGCGAGTTCATAGCGAAGTTTCTGTCGTGCCTGCGTGGCCTCACACAACTACCGTCTGCATCAACCTTAAAGGCGCAAGCAAATGACACTCTCATCTCAACTCTTGTGATTTGTGAGACGAGGCCTGGAAAAGCGGGAGATCGATGCCGCAAGGTGGGTCCACGGCTGCTGCGAAGGCGGCGTGGGTTGCATAGAAGCCGCCTGCAAATCTTTCTCTGATGCTGGCATCAGATTCATGTGGTACAGGTGCTGGGCACCTACAGGCCTGCAAGTACCAACATGATCCTAAATGTCCCTGGTTTTAGGAGTCAGGCAGCACAGAGCAACAGCAAGAGCAGCCTTGCCTTTCAGCTTATTCCTCTCCAGGCACACCGTGCATCGCATGCATCATAATGTTTTTTCAAATCTGGCAACACTGAAGTGTAGCTTGCAAGCCGCCGTATGTAGTTCATGCAGAAAACATCCCCAAAAACATGACACGTGTCCAGCTTCTTCCGTCACTTTCACATCTTCCTCTGCTTTGTTTCAAGACGTGAGTGTTGCTGGCTAACACTTTCGTAGCTAGCATAGCCAGCGACGTGTCCCCAGTGCTTTGCGTCCACGCTAGAGGCAGCCGCTGTACACAGCCAGTGAGAAGTGGATTGTAGCGGTTCGCCTCTAGCATGGACGCAAAGAAGCTCCCCTGGCAACAATCGAATATGCAGTGCGAAGGGCGACGCGCATCACCTTCATGTGCTTGCCTGTCTTTCTTTGCATCTGTCTTCTCAGAGGATGCTCGAAGCCCAATTGAAATATTATCACTACCATACACTGGCCTCGATCTTTGCCATATGCCTGCCTGCTATCGTGTCTACCACGGCCTGTAGCTAGATCTTTTCTCAGCTTCAGGCTAATTCACTGTGTTCGTCCAAGGTCCCTGGTTTGTGCGGCCGAGGTGCACTTGGATACATGCAGCCCCAGCTCGCCGCACTGCCGTCGCCTCGCTTGCATCACATTTTCCAGCTGTTCACAAAACTTCCCCCTCTTTGATCCCGACACCACGCAAGAGACCGAAAGGTGGATGATGATCACGAGATTTAGTGAAGAGCTATGCACGCCCTGAGACACAGCTCATGTCCTGCCACACCGAGCGAGACAGTAAGGGGCTTCCTGCTTTTGGCTTTCAGGAGGACAAGATCAGACGCTCAGCACAGTGCGCTTCAATGCCGCAAAGGCCCGGTCTGTAGTCACGATTCGTCGGACCTTGCTCGGGCTCAAGGCTCATCAAGGCTTTCTCTGCGAGTGATATCCTCTGTCCGCTGCTGAAGTTCGCGACTTCGGTGTTGTGGTCGTCCGACGAGGCGTCGTGCTGTGTGCAGACTGTCAAACTCGCGTCGAGGTCCCGACGCCGCCATTCTCACTCAGCTTGGCCTGTGCCAGGTGGAACTGAATGAAACATTGCCAGGCCTTCGTCTGTTCATGGTGTCTCGCCGCGTCGGTGCAAGCATCGCTTGTGGCAAGCAGCTCCACATCACTCACTTAAGTCACTTAAGAGACGCGAAATTCTACGACCGCTGTGAAATGATGGGTCAGCCAAGCCGCTTGCAAGCTCTCGTCTATCTGACATCCGCAGGACTGATGGTCCCACTTCAAGCTCGACACCAGGAGCATGCAAAGCCCAAAGGGAGTGTTCAATCTACAGTACCTGTCGGATTCGATATGCGATTGTTTCAAGAAAGCCCCGGCAGCTGGGCATCTGGCACCACGACAGAGCCATCGACACGAATTGCAGCCCATGACATTAAATTGGCAGCGACCTAATGGAAATTGCCAAGTGAACTCAGCAGCCAGCCAGTTAGCCGGGGGATTGGCCACGCCTCCTGCCGAACTACTGGTGCTCACCTGAACGCAAAGATGTATCTTGGCACATGCCTTGCAAAAAATCCCGCATCATGTTACCACATCCTGCAACACACCTATATCGCACAGCCAACATTTTGAACTCAGGAGCCAGCCGCAGGATTGGCCACGGCCCCTGCCGAACGGCCGGTGCTCACCTGAGAGCACAAACTCTATCTACCCTGAGATATAGGAATCCTGGCTCGAACAATGCCAATTGAATCACTGCACTTGTCAGTCAGCTGGGGCAGTGACCGTCGCAGCATTGGCACTGGTGCCGGTGTTCACAGCTCCGGTCCGGGTGCCCTCGCATGTTCAACCGCATGGGTGGTCGGCATGGGTGATCTCTTTACTCTGATGACCTGACTTGACATGTCTGTCACCATCCCCCACCTCACGAAGCAAAACAGGAGATGGCCTGCATGGACAAGCCTTGCATACCATGTAGCATGTCTGCCTCAGCAGAGGCTGGTCACAGCTGAAAGCGCATATGGCCTAGGGCGTCTGACTACTGTCGATGACGCCCAGCCTACTTGGCAACACTTATGGCCTCACATAAAGTCCGAACCCCATTCTTCAAACTGGAACCTGTCTTGCACACCAAGATGCGGCACAAAAATCAGGGCCGTCAACTGGTCTGGAGCTTGGGAAGTACGCTGGCGCATTCAATCTGCGCATCTGCGCAGTACAGACTCGGTTTTCTTGTACAGAGCCGAAAATTGCTCATGAAATCCTGATCAGCTGCAACAGCGGTGGCACAACACGTTGCAAGCGCACGGCTTTTCGAACCAGGTACAACGTCCCCACATGCCAACTTCAACATGCATAATGTTCTCAAGCTTTGTCAACCTGGGCTTCCAACT